GGAATCATGGCTCTCGCTGCTCTTTGCCGCTGGGCGCTTCCAGCAATGAGCTCCTCTGGTTACTATTTTAATGGTCACTGTTTTTAAATTTTATTTATTTTAATCCTCACCTGAGGATATTTTTTCCATTGGTTTTTAGGGAGAGTGGAAGAGAGAGGGAAAGAGAGAGAGAAACATCATGTGAGAGAAAGATTGGTTGCCTCCTGCAGGAGCCAAGACCAGGGCCTGGGGAGGAGAGGAGACTGCAATCAAGGTACATGCCCTTGACCAGAATCCAACCCCGGATCCTTGGGTCCACAGGCAGACGCTCTATCCACTGAGTCAAACCGGCTAGGGTTGATGGTCACTATTTTTAAATATATATTTTTTTATTAATTTCAAAGAGGGAGGGACAATAGGAACATCAATGAGAGAGAATTATTGACTGGCTGCCTTTTGCATGCCCCCTAGTGGGGATCTAGCCGAAAGCAGGGCATGTGCCCTGACTCATAATTGAAGCATAACCTCCTGGTTCATAGGTCAACACTCACAATTGCAGGACTTAATGGTCACTATTATGATGATGATGATGATGATGATGATGTTAATCCTCACCAGAGGATATTTTCCATTGATTTTTAGAGAGAGAGAAACATGGATGTGAGAAAGACACATCGACTGGTTGCCTCCTGCTTCGGGCAGGATGGAGCCTGAAACCCAGGTATGTGCTCTTGACCTGGAATCGAACCCGGGGCCCTTCAGTCCATGGGCTGACACTCTATCCACTGAGCCAAACCTGCTAGGGCAATGGTCACTGTTTTAATCTGAAACCTGTTCATGTGAAGTGAAAGGCAAAGGAAATGAAATCTGTCAAATGACCTGAGATGATTCCACAAAATCCATTAAATACAGAATAGTCTGGAAACCACACCTATTTTTTTAGTTTACTCTAAATGAATAAATGAATACTTTTAAAATGAATTTTGATTCAGTGCATTTGTAATGATATAACCTGAATGAAACTGTACCCCAGGAGGAAACATCCAGTCTACACCTGTTAGTCCCAAAGCACGTCGGTGGTGGGAGTTCTCAGCAGTGGAAACACTGCCCAGCGAGGGCCCTCCTGGGGCCAGAGGGCAGTTACTTCCATAACTGGGGCAGTATTAGGCCATAATTTTACATGTGATCTCAGGAGGGTGAGCATAGAAGACGTGAGGATCACACTGACAGTAGAAGCTCATTATTTTAACAACAGCAACAGAAATGTGTTATCTGTAAATGGAGGCAATGTTGATCCTGATCAAAAATTCACCTCTTTACCTCCTGGTAGTTGGTTCAAGAAATATTTAAGTCAATGAAAGTATACACAGCAAGATGGTCAATGACATACTAAAACAGGCTGAGGACGCCCCTTAGGTGTTAGATAATGACTGCAAAAATTACAGAAATATGTAACTCCAATCTTAAGTCAAACCTGTCCACTGAGGCCCCTTTCAAAGCATAGATGCACCTGGTTCTATATTTCGCTCAGGTGAGCAAAGCCTCATCTATTCAGGGGCAGGAATTTCATTTTCCTAATTAATTTGCTCTTATGCTCAAATTTTACTATTACTACCTTTATATTGGGGAAAAGAAGCTTTCCTTTAAGAATTGTTTGTGCTTATCCATAACAATAAAATTTTGTGCTGCCCAGGCTGGGACTCTTATCGGAGCAGCCGCCGACTCCTGGCCAACAGCCACACCTCCCCAGCCAACTCTGGGACAGAGAGTTTGGAACTTCCAAACAGAAGGCCTTCCCTGAACCTCCCGGTACCAGGACACAGATGTGTGTGAGGGTCAGCTGAGCAATGCAGAGCACCCTCCGCCGGTCCCAGGTGCCCCACCACTCCGATGTGGCCTGAGGGGGCCAAGGGGACAGGCACAGCCCACCACCACCCTCTTAGCTGTCAGTCCATCTTGCTCGTCCCTATATTTTCACCACAGTCCCCACCTGAGCCCCAGGCCTCCATCCAGGTCGTCAGGCAGGTTCCCCCAGCCTGGCTCCAATCACAGGGCTCATCAGTCCACAAACCCTCGCTGACTCCTAGCAGCTAGGGAACCACTATAGTCGGCAGCCGTGCCCACTGCCTTCTGCACTCATCCCTACTCCCTTCCACCCTCGTCATGGCCCCCACCTTCCAGTGCCCTCGCCGTCCCCCCAACTCCCACTTCAATTTCCCTAGAGCCTCCCATTCTCTGCCTTGCCCTGAGGCCTGTGCAGCTGCCCCACCCGAGGGCTCCTCATCAGATCTGCAGCTCCAGCCCCGGGCTGCTGGTGAGGCAGGTATTTCCACGACCAGGTGCCAGACAGCCAAAGTGACAGATGACCAAAATCACAGGTGGGTTTTCCACCTTATTCCCCAAATGCTACAAGGTAAGTGCTAAGAGAAGTCAGGGAAACCAGAGTCTTGGGCTTACCTGGGATGGACTCGAGGGCACTGCCAGTGGGGTCCAGTGGGTGGGCACGGGCCGAGAGAATGGGCAGAGCAGTGGGGGAGGAGCCGCTGGAACCAGCACTGGATGCCAGGCTGGACGCCACGCTGGAGCTCACGCTGGGAGCAAGCGGGTGAACCACTGTAAACACCGCCAGGTGGTTCTGTGCAGAGACACAAACAAGATGAGCAGACGCACCTGCACCGACAAGAGCAGCATGACCTAGTGCAGTCCGGGCAGACAGAGGCACTGGCTAACTCCACCCCCAAAGCAAAAAGTAATGCAAGTGGACTTGACCCCTAAATGTCTACTTATTTACAATGACCTAGACAAGCAGACTCACTAGCTGCCAATCACCCAGGAACAGGAACAAATGTATCTAGGACAGTGGTCGGCAAACTGCGGCTCACGAGCCACATGCGGCTCTTTGGCCCCTTGAGTGTGGCTCTTCCACAAAATACCGACTTCTGTGCATGGGCCACGAAGTTTCAATCACACTATACGTGCGTGCCCGCACGTGGTATTTTGTGGAAGAGCCACACTCAAGGGGCCAAAGAGCTGCATGTGGCTCGCCAGCTGCAGTTTGCTGACCACTGATCTAGGAAGTCTCATGTAATGAACTACTCTGCAGAAAGCAGTTTTCAAAAGTAGACATTCAACACTAGAAAACAAACCACCCACAGACAAAGTAGTTGAGAACCAGCCCTCTTCTGAAAACTGATGACATGGTCCCATAACCTCATTACCGAAGAAAAGTAAAAAATGGGGACATTCACGTTATCTTTATATGATAGACAACAGATGAAACACAGAGAGCTGGCCCAGTCTTGGATGAAGAGCCACAAATGTGCAGGGTGCTGTGCACAAGAAAAGCCTGCAGTGAAAATGCCCCGGGACAGAGCTGGGAGCCAGCCCACACTGCGTTTATTATTTCATTTTATTTTTAAAAAAATTATTTTTATATTACAGTTTACTGTACATTCAATATTATTTGTATTATTTTCAGGTGTATAACATATTGGTTAGACAATCATACTAGGTGTACCAGTTAGTAATGCGGATTTTGTAATCAAAGAAAACATGATAATTTCAAGAGAAACATCAAAAGTGCTTTATTCAAAGTAATTTCATCGCTAGCTACACATTTCCCCCATCTTTCAGGTAATCTGTGGATACCGTCCCAATAGAACTTTTCTTATTTTGAGGCAAACCATTCAGAGACCCAATTTTCCACTTCTTTGTACGTTTTGAAGTGCTGCTCAGAAAGTGTGTGTGCCATCGATCGGAACAAGTGGTCATCTGAAGGAGCAAGGTCTGGTGAATACGGCGGGTGGGTTAATACTTCCCAGGCAAGATCTTTTAACGTGTCTTTAACTGGTTTTGAAGTGTGTGATGGTGTGTTATCATGAAGCAAAATTACTTGCTGTGTCTTCTGGCACATTCTGGTCGTTTTATGATCAAAGCGTGGTTCAAGTTGATTATTTGTTGTTGTTAGCGATCAGTATTAACGGTTTCACCTGGTTTTAGAAGCTCATAATAGTACACCTCACCTTCCTGATCCCCCCAAACGCAGAGAACATTGTCTTCTTTCCGAAGCGATTTGGCCTTGCAGTCGATGTTGATGGTTGACCTGGATCAATCCATGACTTTGTGCATTTGGGATTCTCAAAATAAATCCACTTTTCATTGCCAGTCACAATTTGATGCAAAAAAGAGACTCTCTTTCATACCGTTGAAGCAACATTTTACTGATGACTTTTCGGTTTTCCATTTGTCTTTCGTTCAGTTGATGTGGCACCCATTTTCCTTCCTTTAAAGTCTTTCCCATTGCTTGTAAATGATCGGAAATTGTTTACTGAGCAACGTTTAATATTTCTGCAAGTTGTTTTAGAGTTTGACACGAATCTTGTAATTGTTGGTCTTCAAACTTTTTTGGTTGACCTGGACGTTCTTTGTCTTTCACATCAAAATCATCACTTTTAAAGCGTTTAAACCAAAAAATAAATAAATAAATAAAGCGTTTAAACCAGCATTGACAAGTATCTTGAGATGGAGCATGTTCACCATAAGCTTCCCGAAGTATATGATTACTTTCAGCAGCACTTTTCTTCAAAATAAAGTAATGAATTAGAACTTCCCACAAATGCTCTTTTTTTTTTTTTTTGGCACAAAACTCGACATTTTTAAGTGTTAAAATATCTATGATGTTAACACCTTCAGAAAATGACATATGAAGTTTTAAAGCTTGATGTCAATACAACAAAATAGCATACATATCAAATTGCATATATATCAACATATGTGTAACTCCATCTATTGAAAAAAATCCCCATTATTAACCGGTACACCTGGTATACTTTACAAAGTGTTCCCCCTGATATTCCCAGTGCCCCATTGGTACCATACAGGTTTGTCCCTTCAGCTTTGTCTCCAATCCCGAAACCCCTCCCCTCTGGCAACCATCAGTCTGTTCTCTGTATCTATGAGTCTGTTTCTGTTTTGTTTGTTCATTTATATTGTTCTTTTTATTGATTTTATTTATTTTTAAATAGTTTTATTGATTTCAGAGAGGGAGAAGGAGAAAGATGGAAACATCAATGATGTGAGAGAATCATTGATCAGCTGCCTCCTGCATGCTCCTACTGGGGATTGAGCCTGCAACCCAGGCATGTGCTCTGACAGGCATGTGCCTATGACCTCCTGGTTCATAGGCCGACACTCAACCACTGAACCACACCGGCCGGACCGCACTGAGTTTAAAGGCAGACTCCGAAGTTACTAGGACATCGGGAGTCAGAGCTACATGGAGGTGAAATGATGTGATGTCTGGGTTCTGCCTCAAAATAACACAGAAGTAACCTGGGGTTGGGGCAGCTACAACAAGACCAACGACAAGGTGGGGTTACCAGTTTGTCACCTAAGGGAAGTTTTCCATAATAAGGAGTGTTACTAAGCATTCTGTCAGACAGAAATCTGCAGAGAACAGTTTTTCAAAGTGAATATTACTTGGCCCCACGGCCTGTGTTCACGGGCTCCCAACCCCCTCCACTGGCTTTGCTCAAGAGAGCGCCCCTTGGCAGACCACGGTCCACAGGTGCAGAGACCCTGGAACTGATCACCACTGTATGTTTGAAGTGACAATCCTATATAATAAAAGGCTAATATGCAAATTGACCAAACAGCAGAACGACCAGTCGCTATGACATGCACTGACCACAAGGAGGAAGATGCTCAATGTAGGAGCTGCCCCCTGGTGGTCAGTGCGCTCCCACAGGGGGAGCGCCACTCAGCCAGAAGCCGGGCTCACATCTGGCGAGTGCAGCGGCAGTCAGACATCCCCCGAAGGCTCCTGGACTGCAAGAGGGCGCAGGCCAGGCTGAGCTCCCCCCCCCCCAGTACACGAATTTCATGCACCGGGCCTCTAGTTTAAAAATAAAAACTCAAACTGCAGAAGTCTGGACAGCTGGGTCTCCTACGCTCCCTGAGGTCACCCACAAGCAAGCGTTCCTGTCCCTCCAGCCGTGGAGGTGTGACCACAGGCCCCCCTATAACCCATGGAGGACACTGCAGATGCCCCAAATTAAATCCCACACACAGCCTGACCCGGAGCCACCAGCCTGAGGCACACACTGTGACTTCACTTACCCACACAAATCAAGTCACACTGCAGGAGGACATGCCCCGTGAAAAACATCAGGGACAATTTGTCCTGGAATTTGATGACAACATTCTGTTGGGCCCTTTCACTGAGGCCATGGTAGTTACACACGTACCAGGATGGGCCAAGCATGGGGTCCCCATCACCAAGGGAGTGTGACACACATGGGGAGATGGGGAACCATGCCCATAATAGCTTTGCCCAGTTTATTTTCTTCTTTCTTATGGTAAAATACACTAACATAAAATTTACCACTTTAACTGTTTTTATGTGCACAATTCAGTGGCACTAAGGACATTCACATTGTTGAGCAACATCTCCACCATCCATCTCCATAACTTTCCCATCTTCTCAAACTGAAACTCTGTCCCCATCAAATACTTACTCCCTACCCCTACCTCCCCCAGCCCCTAACACTACCATTCCACTTTCTATCTATATGAATCTGACTCTTCTAGGGAACTCTTATGCATGAAATCATACAATATGTGGTCCTTCGTGTCTAGCTCACTTCACTTAGCAAAGTTATCTTTTTTTATGGACTGAATGTCTATGTCCCTCCAAGACACCAGTGTTGAAGCCCTAACCCCCAGATGACTGTGTTTGGAGACAGGGCAGTGAAGGAGGTGATTAAGGTTAAATGAGGTAGTAAGAGTGGGGTCCTGATCCGATAGGACTGGTAAGACTGGTATCCTTATAAAAAGACAAAGAAATACCAGGGATGTGCACACACAGAGAAATAGAATGTGAGCACATACGAGACTCGGGCAGTCTGTAACCCAAAAGAGAGGCCTTGGAGAAATCAAGCCTGCCTACCCTTTGATTTTGGACTTCCAGCCTCCGGAACTGTGAGGAAATGAATTTGTTATTTTAGCCAGCCAGTCTATGGTGTTTTGTTATGGCCCAAGCTAACAGTCTTGAAGGTTCACCCGAGTTGTAGCCTTTTTAAGGCTGAATAATATTCCACGGTATGTATACACCACAGTTTGCTTATCCATTCATCTGTCGATGGGCACTTCGGTTGCTTCCATCTTTTGGCAATTCTGAATCATGCTGCTATGAACATGGGTGAACAAACATCCCTTTGAGACACTACTTTCAATTCTTTTGGGTATACAGTATATCCAGAGGTGAAATCGCTCCATCATATGGTAGTTCTATTTTCAATTTTTCAAGGTACTACCATACTGTTTTCTAATGCATAAAAGTTGCAATTTCTCCACATTTTCACCAACACCTCTTATTGTCTGTTTTTGTTTCTTACAGCAGCCATCTTAATGAGTATGGAAGTCATATCTTATTGTCAATGTGTTAGATAGGACAAGGATCTCAACGGACAGTTCTAAATGTTATTTCTTGCTAAATGTTAAAATATAGCACAGTATTTTGCAGATGCAGCAGTAAATAGGATAAGCTGAAGGGGGAACTCAAGACATGACAGTAGCCAACTGCAAAAAGCAATCAACATGTCATTGACCAAATAATGTAGGTAAGCAATGGCCAAGCCTCCCTTCGAGGAGGCAGAGCTCTGGATGTGAATCCTCTCTCTCCTTTACTTGCTGCAAGTAAATAAAACTACCTCGTGACAACCACTTCCTGTTTTTTGTTTTTTAATTCTCTCCCGAGGATATTGGTTTTTAGAGAAAAAGGGGGAAGAGAGAGAAAAACATTGATATGACAAGCACCAATCTGTTGCCTCTCATACGTGCCCCAACCAGAAATTGAACCCGCAACCTTTTGGTGTATGGGATGACACTCCAACCAACTGGACCACCCTGCCAGTGCTCACCTCTGTCTTTTTAATTTTATTGACTTTTAGAGGAAGGGAGGGGGAGAGAGAAACATCAATGTAAGAGCATAACATTGATTAGCTGCCTCCTATACGCCCCCTAACAGGGATCAGCCCGCAACCCCAAACATATGCCTTGACCAGGAATCAAACCAGCAACTCTTTGGTGCCCAGGCCAATGCCCAACCAACTGAGCCACACCAGCCAGGGCCTCTTTTTATTTTACTTTTTAAAGATTTTAAATTGATTTTTTGAGAGAAAAGAAGAGAGAGGGAGAGAAACATTGATGTAAGAGCAAAACATCAATCAGCTGCCTCCTGCACATCCCTCATGGGGATCGAGCCCACAACCTGGGCGACCCTTTGGTGCATGGGAGGATGCCGAACCGACTGAGTCACACTGGCCAGGGCTCACCTCTTGCTTTTAAATAAGTACCCCAAGTGGCGAACCCCTTGAGTTTGGTAACAGATGTGAATTGTATTTCCCCAATGACCAGTGGTGTTGAGCATCTTTTAATGTGCTTATGAGCTTTTTGTATATCTGCTTTGGAGAAATGTCTATTCAAGTCCTCGACCCATTTTTCAGTTGGATTGTTTTGTTGCTGTTGAGTTGTAGGAGTTCTTGTTAATTGTGGATGTTAACCCCTTATCAGACACATGATTTGCAAATGTTTTCTCTCATTCCGTGGGCTGCCTTTTCCTCTGTTGACAGTGTTCTTTGACACAAAAGTTTTTTTGTTTTCCAGCATGTTTGTAATGATTTTAGAGAGAGAGGAAGGGAGAGCAAAGGAGAAAAATCGATGTGAGAGAGAAAAATCGATAGGCTACCTCCTACATGCCCCCTATTGGGGACCAAGCAATCCGGGTATGTGCTCGGGCTGGGAATTAAACCGATGACCTTTTGGTGCACGGGATGACACAACCAACTGAGCCACACCGGCCAGGGGACACACAAGTTTTTAATTTTGATGATGTGTGACGTCTATTTTCTCTTTTGTTGCCTGTGCTTTTGGTGTCATATCCAAGAAATCATCACCAACCCCAGTGTCATGAAGCTTTTCCGTCTGCCTGTTTTGAGCGGCAGGCTGGAGGAGAGCCACTTCCACCAACATGAGACACTTGGCCAAGCGGACCCTGGAGTGACTTGGGGTCTCATCCAAGTGACAACCTTGAAAGCGTGCATGTTACAACAGGCTGACGTATTTCAGAGAGAAGGGGGGACAGGAAGACTTAACCAATGAACTTATAGGTATGTATGCAAAACCCACGGACAGACAATAGTGCGGGAAAGGCCTGGGAGGGGATGGGAGCGGGTGGAGGGGATCAATAGGGGGAAAGGGGGTGACATCTGCAATACTTTCCACAATAAAGATGCATTTTTTAGAAGAGCGTGCATGTTAGCGAGGAAACAAGTGCCCCGAGGTGCTCAGGATGATGACTGTCCAACCACGGGGCTTGCACAGGGTGTGCTCTGGGCCTGGCTGCCTTACACTGGGCCTCTCGGGAGGGGCAAGAGTGAGTCCTGGGCTCGGGCACACCGGGGACAGCGTCTCCGGCCTCGGCAGCCCACATGGATCATCTCCTGGACCACGATGGTGCCTCAACGCTTCTGTGTCACGTGCTCCACCACATGTGGCCTGGTAGCAGGCTTCTGAGGAGGAGACCACCAGGAAGGAAGACGGGAATTGGGGAGGGACCAGACCAAGCAGGAATTGAACCACCTCAGTTTATCAACAAAAACTCTGCACAGAGAGGCACTTGGGGCTCCCCACTCTCACCAAATGGCCGAGGCCCCAGAAACAAGAGCCACAGTCAGGGCTGGTAACACAGGGACAGTGGGGACCCATGGACCTGCAGCTGACACAGAGGAGATGGGAGGGGTCCCAGGGATGTAGTAGACCAGCGCCCATGTGCAGGGAAGGGGTCCCCAGGGCAGCCGCCTGTCCGAGAGAGCACTGTGCCGCCTCAGCGTACCCTCCAGCCTTTCTACCTGAGCAGGAATCTGGGGGCAGGGAGTAGGGGGTGGGAGTAGGTCTGGGGGGGGGGGAGGGGGAAGGCGGGCAACCCAAACCTAGCCTAGGGACCCTTGCAGCTGGCCCTTTAATCCTGCCACCCTGGCGCTCGCTGCCCCTGGAGCCAGGCTTTGGGACGGAGTGGACGGGGTCTCTGAGCACAGGCAAGAGCTGGCTTGCAGATGAACGTGGCCAGTTTACTCAGCGCCGAGTGGGGCTGGTGCCACCATGTGAGACACAGCAGCTGGTGGGGGCAGCGGGACCCCCAGGGCGGCTCACACACTGGGACCGCCCACCCTTTCCGGGGGCTGCTGGGCCCTGACTGGCATGGGGGTCCCTCGCCATGCAACTTGGCGAGTCGGCCCCCCGGCTCCTCAGGCCCTCCTCCCGCAGCTCTGAGACAGGCAATGTGCCCACTGGCCACCTTATTCCTCACATGTCATGTTTCAGGTTCTTAATGAACATCTTGTCAACTTTCATCTCTTAAGGAAAAACCATCACAAAATAACTAAGTTGCATTTTTCCTTTCAACTATCCTTCTGCCCCGTTCAAACACCTGCTTCGGAAGCTCTGAAGAGAACACGCGTGACTACAGAAGCTGCTCAGACAGCCATTTGGAGAAAAACCTGCCCTCGGGGGGGGGCGTCCAGAAGACCAGGGAGAAGGGAAGGAGAGGTGCTGTCAGGTAGGAACTTAAAGACCCCCAGACAGTGTTGGCCGGTGAAGTCCTGCCGGAGGTGAGCCCCTGCTGCCTGCCCCCCTCGCCCAGGCCTTCCGGATGTTTTCAGCTCTGCTGGTTACAGGGACGGATAAAAACAAGTGTTCTGAGTCCTTAGGGCACCGGTTTTGAAAAAAAAAAAAGAGGTTTCTCCAGACAGACTAGGTTTGAACAAGCCTGAAAGCTGGGCTGGGCAGAAAAGAGAGAAAGGTCCCAACTTTGTTGAAGCCTCGGGACAGGGGGCTCCGCTGGAAGCTCCCCCTCAGCCTCACTGAGGAGGGGAAACAGTGAGCAACACCCCGAAGAACATCCTGACCATCATCTCAGGATGTGACAATAAGCTGTGGCCTGGAGCAGCGGTCGCCAACCAGTGGTCCATGAGGTCCAAGCCCATGATCTTGGATGCTGTCTGGGCTGACCTGTGTCCCCAGACCCTCCTATGTTGGAGTCCTGACCCCAGAACCCCGAGTGTGACGTTACCTGGACACGGGATCTTTAGCGCCCTGGGAATCAAGTTAAAATTAGAGTGGGTCCTAATCACTGTGACTGGTGTCTTTATAAAAGGGGAGATTTGGAGACAGACCACAGGCACAGGGGAGATGCTGCGAGGAGACAGGGAGAAGCCGTGTCCTTGACCCCAGGACCCATTTCTGTTTCAGCTCCGTCTGCGGTGCTTTGTTACAGCGGCCCCAGCACACTGATCAGAGCAGCTACTGGTGCTCGTCTTCCCCGCGGGGGAAACTTTCAAAGGTTTGGGTCTTATTTCCAAGGTATAGGCAGACCTTGTTTTATTGTGCTTCGCAGATGTTGCCTTTTTTTTTTTTTAACAAACTGAAGGCAAAACCCTCCAGCAGGAAAAAGATTACAACTCACCTAACCGATATACTCGCTTTATTGCAGTGGTCTGGGAGCCAAACCACAATTTCTCCAAGGTCTGCCTACACAATGCAATGTTTTAAACATTAAAACAAAGGATGCATGGAACAGACGACTTTAAGAAGATAATGAAAAACACAGTTAAACGCCCTGGCTGGGTAGCTCAGCTGGTTAGAGCATCATCCCGATACCAGGTTGCAGGTTTGATCCCCAGTCAGGGCACAAACAAAAGATGAGTGAATGCATAAATAAGTGGAACAACAAATTGATGTCTCTCTCTCTCTCTCTCTCTCTCTCTCTCTCTTGCTCTTTCTGTCTCACACAATCTCTCTCATCAATAAACTAACTAAGTAAATACGTAGTTAAATTCCACGTGAACATTAACCGGCCACTTTGTGCCAGGAGTGAGCATGACCAAGTTAGGAAGCCATAACCCAGGCCTGCTGTCCCGCGACCACAGGATGATGGAAATCCCATCCCAGGAGAATGGTACCTGCTTACTGTCGTGCTCACTGGCTTTCTGGCTGCCGTCAGCAGGTGAGTCCCTCCACTTTGCCTGCAACAGAAAAAAGAAAACACAGTTGATTAAAAATAAAAATACACAGAGACCCAAGCTTTGACAAGTACTAAAGTCTCATAACATAGAGAAAGCATTCAGATCTGCTAGCTCTGCATCGGTCCTCCTGGATTCCATTTCTTACGCCTGGACTTTGACCTTTGACCTCCAGGCTAGGCTGTGTGAAGGTAGCATGTCAGCTCCGTGCACCCTGAACCCACAATGGGGACAAACCCCAGACAAGCCTTTCACTACAGGGGTCCCCTTTAAGAGCTGGGGAGTTTTGGAAAGACTGACACCTGAGGCCAAGAATGACTTAGGGCAATTTCCTCCCCACCCCTGTGCAGGGGGCCCCTCCCCTCCCCTTCCAGAACACCACCTCTTTCTTTTGTTCTTTTTTTGTTAATCCTCACCCAAGGATATTTTTTCATTGATTTTTAGAGAGAATGGAAGGGAGGGGAGAGGCAGAGAGAAACATTGATATCAGAGAGACACATCGATTGGTTGCCTCCTGCACGTCTGGCCGGGGAACCTGCAACCAAGGTACATGTCCTTGATTGGAATCGAACCTGGTACCCTTCAGTCCATAGGCCGACACTCTGTCCACCGAGCCAAACCGGCTAGGGTGAGGAGACTGGGTATCGAGCCTGCAACCCGGCATGTGCCCTGACTGGGAATTGAACCAGTAATCTCTTGGTGCAAGGGCCAACACTCAACCACTCAGCCATACCGGCTGGGCTCAAATCATTTTAATGAACATTTCTTAGAGGATTTTAGCTTCTTCCTCATTTTTCACTCCCAGCCCTCGGGTCCATGTGAATTGTCTCATGGAAAGACAACCAGTTGTCATGGAAAGACAACAGGGCTGAGTCCAGCTAGAGAGGTGGTGGCTGCATGCTGTGAATGCACAAGATGCCACTGTTGTCCGGCTGGTGTGGCCCAGTGGTTGAGCGTCGACCTATGCACCAGGAGGTCACGATTGGATTCCTGGTCAGGGCACATGCCGGGGTTTCGGGTTCAATCCCCAGCCGATCAATGATTCTCTCTCATCACTAATGTTTCTATTGCTCCCTCTCTGAAATCAATAAAAATATACATATAAAAAAAAGATGCCACTGTTCACTTTGAAATGATTAAATTTGCATATGTGAGTCTCTCCCAATGTAACCGAAGACCTGTGAGGTGGCAAATCCAGGTGCAGCCCTTCCTACCCTTCCTAAGTGCTGGAGGGGCTCCCAGAACCCGGACCCTAAGTGCGGGCCTGACCCAGGGGGACCCTCAGTGCGGGCCTGACCCAGGGAGGAGGATGGGCTCTCCTGCAAGAGCAGCCCAGCTCGCTGCCAAACTGAAGGAATTCAGCCTCATCTGCAGCCAGATGCCTTTCTTGGTGACTCCAACAGGACAAATGGAAACACTCATGCACCCACGTCACCGAGCTCGCCTGAGGAAGAGGGTCCTCTCTGCCCCCTCAAAACACCCCGCGTGAGGGCACCATAGGAGGCCACGGCCTTGGCAGTGAGGGTGGGACACCAGGTCTGAACCCTGTCCCCACCATCGTACTCTGTCCTCAGCGACATGGAGGTCCTAACCCAGGAGGGCCATCAGCTCCCAGAAGTGACCCCCCATCTCTCACTGCCCGGCAAACCTCTAGGACCACCCTGACTGAGACCCGGGGGTGCTCAGGGTCAGGGACCTGCCCACGCCCGCCCTCAGCCAGCACCTCCCCTCCCAGGGGGCAGACAGCCCTGAGAGGACCCTGCTGGAGGTGGGCCCTTCCTTTACGGTCAGCCCAAGACCGTGCATGCACGTGCGGGCAATATGCAAGCGCCTGGCAAACGGCAATCCTCTAGCGCAGCGGTTCTCAACCTGTGGGTCACGACCCCTTTGGCGGTCGAACGACCCTTTCACAGGGGTGGCCTAAGACCATCCTGCATATCAGATATTTACATTACGATTCATAACAGTGGCAACATTACAGTTATGAAGTAGCAACGAAAATAATTTTATGGTTGGGTCACAACATGAGGAACTGTGTTAAAGGGCCAGAAGGTTGAGAACCACTGCTCTAGCGCAGCCGTGGGCAAACTACGGCCCGCGGGCCGGATCAGGCCCGTTTGAAATGAATAAAACTAAAAACAAAAAAGACCGTACCCTTTTATGTAATGATGTTTACTTTGAATTTATATTAGTTCACACAAATACTCCATCCATGCTTTTGTTCTGGCCCTCCGGTCCAGTTTAAGAACCCATTGTGGCCCTCAAGTCAAAAAGTTTGCCCACCCCTGGTCTAGCGTCTTCTAGGAGCTGCCAACCCCAAAGCAGATTGTCTTAAACCGCGTTACTCAGGAAGCACAACCATCTGCCCCTTACAATTTGATTAGAAACCAAAGGATGGAGTCAGCCGCCCCCCAGGCAGCCCCCTCGGGGCACCACCCACTCACGTTTCCAGGTGGGCCGCTGCTGGCCGTGGAGCCGCTGGTGGGCGTGAGGTCTCGGCAGCCCCAGTCGGTGGCCATTCCCAGGTTCTCTGGGGAAAGGGAGAGCAGGCTGTGAGTGGCTGCTGGTTTCGCAGGGTCGTTGGCTAAAGGATCCCCTACAATTAGGGAAAGAGCCTGCACTGGCCTCTGAGAGGGCGTCTGAAACACCCGGGAGCTGTCAGGGCAACAGGACCCTCCAGTCTTCGGTGTGAGCCTCGAGTGATTTGAGCATCAGAAAACAATGTGAAATTCAGCAAGAACAGCCAACCTCCCCACCCAAAGAACAAGCAGAAAGTAAACTGGAGCTGGCCACTATACACACACCTGGATCCCAACTCGCAGGCGTTTAGGAGGAAGCCGAGGAACACCAAGGGGGAGGGCCGGTGTGCGTGCACCCCCGTCGCAGAGGCTCGTTTCTGCCTTTGGGAACATTCTATGGGCCCATCTGGCCTTCAATACTAGCCCCGACCCACACAAACCCGTGCCAGTGCCCAGCCACTGTACTCAGGAGCCCGAACACCTGGAGGCAGGGCCCCTCTGGGCCCCACAAGGCCCAGCCTGCAACAGCTCCCACCCCAGGAACCCTGAAGGCATGTGGGGCGCTTCCACCTGCTCCCCCATCCTGAGAGCCTGCTCAGGATGAACAGAGTCTATGAGCCTGTGCGCTGTCTCCCCTGATGGGCTTGCGGCAGCGGCTAAGCCAGAGCCCACTGGGCGTCTGTACTTACTTTCCACATGTGCGAAGGCACAGAAAGGACCCCGAGGGCAGTAGCCGGTTTGGCGCATGTCGTTGCACTTTGTGGATTTGTAGATCTAGGAACAAACATAAAATAAAGTGGAGACTCGATTGGAAATGGGTTTCCGTGGGCAGCCCAGAGAGGATGCACCACAACATAGAGAACTAAGCTCCCAATCGCAGCAGGAATCTTCGGAAGAGAGGGGTGTGGGCGTGGCCCCCTCCCTGAAGGCCCGCAGTCCCTAATCCCCTCCTCGGCACAGGGCCAGCCAGTCCGGGGAACGAGGGCCTGGAGCACCTGTCCTTAAAGCCACACACTCAGCTTCTCCACATGGCGTTTTCTGAAAGATGCACCTGCTTCAGTGCCTGGTACACAGCAGGTGCATTTCAAGAAATGCCTATTAAATGAACACGTGTCCATCCCATGACCAGACCCAATCCACCCCACTTGGGTCGAAGATACTCTCATGCTGTCCACAACACCGGGGTCTGGCCCCGCAGCACATGGGACCCAGGAGGAGCAGACCAGCCTCAGGGCTGCAGATGCACCTTGTGGGCATTGCCACGGCAGGATCTCTGCACTCCTGCCCAGACCCCACACCAGCCGTGGGCAAACTACGGCCCGCGGGCCGGATCAGGCCCGTTTGAAATGAATAAAACTAAAAAAAAAAAGACCGTACCCTTTTATGTAATGATGTTTACTTTGAATTTATATTAGTTCACACAAACACTCCATCCACTCCATCCATGCTTTTGTTCCGGCCCTCCGGTCCAGTTTAAGAACCCATTGTGGCCCTCGAGTCAAAAAGTTTGCCCACCCCTGCCCCACACCGACACCTCACCACCCTCCTTCCTTCCCCACCTGCTCAGTCCCCTTGACTCAACTGTCTGCTAGGCAACCACGCCAACAAAAACAATTTCAAAGGGTCTCAAATTCACTAAAAACATCAGGAAGCTACATGTCATTGTATGTGCATTTTAAAGCACAGCACTTTCAGGAAACAAAATGCAATCACCACCCTTTGGATGGGTCCCCACCCCTTCCTGCAGCCCAGGGCGCCTCAGGTGGCACAGCCACGCGCTCCCTCACTCTGGCGCCTGCTTTCATGCCCAGGACAGCCTCTAGTGCACCCAGCGCTAGGCTTGCTGGTGCTCAGTGACCCCTGAGGGAAGGTCATGCTAACTATTCTGAGTTTTGTCTTGCTTAAGCGTCAACAAATGTAATGTATGCACCAAGGCGTGTGTGTAAAAACAGATGGACACCCCAGAGCTAACGTGGTATGTGACAAAGGACATCACAGGTCAATCAGTGTGGCTGCAACTCCACAGGCAGGCCTGAAATAAAACCAGGTGCAAATGCCCCACTGATTCACTTGTTTTCTTCTCTGTTAAGTCACAACATTAAGAGTAAACACAGTTAAGTAAAAATTCACTGGTGTCCACGGGTTTTCAGTCCCAATTCTGCACCTACATGAGCCATATAAAAAGAAGAGAATGAGCCCTGACCGGTTTGGCTCAGTGGATAAAGCGTCGGCCTTTGGACTGAAGAGTCCCAGGTTCAACTCCGGTCAAGGGCATGTACCTTGGTTGCGGGGACATCCCCAGTGGGGGAAGGGGTGCAGAAGGCAGCTGACTGATGTTTCTCTCTCATCGATGTTTCTCTCTATCCCTATCCCTTCCTCTCTGTAAAAAAAATCAATTAAATACATTTTAAAAAAGAAAAAAAGAGCATGAGCCCTGGCCAGTGTAGCTCTGTGGTCGGAGCATCGATCCGTGCACCAAGGAGTCGTGGGTTTGATTCCCGGTCAGGGGCATGTACCTGGATTGCAGGTTCAGACCCTGGCCCTGGGCAAGGGTGGAAGACAACTAATCAATGTGTCTTTCTCACATCATGTTTCTCTCTCCCTCCCTCCCTTCTATTTAAATCAACTGAAAAATGTCCTTGGGTGAGGATTAACAAAACAAAACAAAACAAAAAAAAGAAGAGCATGAGTGTGGGAAACAGATAAGAACCAGAGTGCTGAGCCACAGAAATGAATGGCGCAGTCGTGACCTCAGGGTGAGAGCCAGGTGAGGTGAGACTTTTTATTCAAACACTTCTGGTGTGAACAGGCACAGCATTTTTTCTGAGGAGTTTTCCAAACTCCAATGAAGAAATGATCATGTGACTAGAAGAGGAGAAAATAAAAACTTGAGACCGGCTGTGGTGGGGCCTGAAATGCAGGTCTAGGCTTGAGAGAGAAGGCCCGGAGGTGAAGGCTAGACTTTTATCCAAGTTCACACAAGCCCGATGCCTGCGTGCTCAGCACCAGCTCAGTGCCTTCCTCCCAGCGCCCGAGGCAGCCTTTTGCCCGAGGAGGACAACTCACTCCTGACCAGGCTGTGCAGGCCCCCGGCAGCCCTCCACCGCCACCCACTGGCCCTGCCTCCCCTCTAGGCCCGTGGAGTTCAGCACATGAGCCCACCCCTCAGTTCACAGGGATCAGCACACACACTACCACCCCTGTGGGTGGACATCCACCCTCTCACCCTCTCACCCTCGACCCCTCCCGCAGCCCAGCCCTGGCCCCCACCCTCCTTGGGCCCCGTGCTCTCCTGCGAACTCAGGCTCTGAAGGGGGCTTGTTGGCTTAGTCGTTTTGAACACAAATCCACGTGAGCTCTGGCTAGCTGAGCAGGCTCTGGGGGTCACACCCTGCACGATCCAAAGGAAGGACCGACCTTGACAACTCCTGGGAGGTGACCTCGGTGCCCCTCGAACGTCTTGTTCGGTAAGTGTCTATTTGCCTGGCCTTGGCCACCCTGGATAATGACAATGTGACCTACGGCGGGGGCCCTGGACCCCACGGCATCAACTCAACCCAGGTCAGCTACGTCTCCACAGTCGACTCCCAACAAAAACCCGAGACACCAAGGCTCAGGTGACTTCCTGGTTGGCAACACTCTGTGCTGACCCCAAAGGCACTGGGAGAAGTGAGTGTCGTCCGTCATTCCCTGGGAGAGGACAGCTGGAAGCTCACGCTGGGCCTCCCCAGGCCCTGCCCCCTGGGGATCCTGCCCTTTGCTGACTTCACGCTGTACCCTTACAGTGCAACGAGCCCTAACTGCGGACCCAATGGCTTTGCTGAGCCCTGTGAGTCTCTAGAGCAGTGGTTCTCAACCTTCCTCATGCCGCGACCCTTTAATACAGTTCCTCATGTTGTGGTGACCCCCAACCATAAAGTTATTTTCGTTGCTACTTCATAACTGTAATTTTGCTACTGTTATGAATCGTAATGTAAATATCTGATATGCTATGTGTGTTTTCCGATGGTCGCGACCCACAGGTTGAGAACCGCTGCTCTAGAGGGACCCCCCAAACATAGCAAGGATCCACCAGACCCACCCTCTCCAGGCTATGGAGCCCCGCCTCCCCGCGTACCTCAGGGTGGAACTGCTGCTCCGTGCGTGAATGGCAGTACTGACAGCTGTCCCCACTGTCACACCTGGAGGGCTCACCCCACTCATCGCCGTGCTTCACGCTGGGGCACGGAGTGGACCTGGGCGACAGGGGGAGTCACAGGAGGGTCTAGAGGAGACCAGCTTTGTGCGTGCCGGGGGTGCTGGTCTACCCGCCTGCCGCCGGGCTCGCCTCTCAGGACGGTGCACCCACAGGCACACGGCCCTGCAAGGGCCGGCCCCTTTCCCTCTGAGGACAGGCAAGAGTAGGGTGAGTGCCATCTGGACCCAGACAGTACTCAGGAGCCCCGGGGTTATTTTCCACAGAAACTAAAGGGAGTCAAAGTCGGGGCTCCCCACGCTGGCGTGAGCAGCATCTCGAGGAAGCGGCCGGACCTCCCGAAGCCAGGAGGCGGCGAGCCCATCTTTTCTCGAGGTTGTTTCAGAATTGGATGTGAGGCCCTGGCGGCTTGGCTCAGTGGATAGAGCGTCGGCCTGCGGACTGAAGGGTCCCAGGTCAGATCCCAGCCAAGGGCACATGCCTGGGTTGCAGGCTCGATCCCCAGTAGGGGGCGTGCAGGAGGCAGCCCATCAATGATTCTCTCTCGTCATTGATGTTTCTATCTCTCTCTCCTTCTCCCTTCCTCTCTGAAATCAATAAAGAAATTTTTAAAAATTGGATGTGAGACTTTTCCCGCCTACACTATGAAAAGTCTAACCGAAATCCTCCCTTTGTCGTGTACTTGGCAGCATTATTGTAACTTGTTTGGTTTCATAGAAAAAATACCACCAGTGTAAGTAAGACTTTTTGTTTTCTTGTTTTTTTTAATCTTTATTTTCTAACCCTTCCATATGCAGTAAACTCACTTTACCTTCTCCAGCTAATATTTGGTCACTAATACTTACAGCCTACTAAGTTAGGCTCTCTGCTCCCTGACTGTGAAATGACTCAGAGGAAGAACAATGACAGGTACCCAACTCTCCAGGAAGACAGCGGGTCCCCCAGGCAAGGGAGGTGGCAGCAGGTAAGCAGAGGGGCTCTTTGCTCAAAGGAAAAGCGGGACAGGAAGCTCAGGGCCTGGAGTAGGAAGGAGGCAAAGGCCCAGGGGCCTGTGGGCACGGGCTCACCGATACTGGAACCTCCTGGGGTTCCGCCGCCTGTCCCTGCTGTTGTGGTAGTGGGGACACGCATAGCCCTGGCGGCAGAGGCGTGGCGGCTTCGGGCACTGCTCGGTCTTGTAGCTGCCCAGCACGAAGTTGGTGTCTGAAAAACAGGAGTCCACATGTAAACGAATACACGCATGCTCACAGCACATGTGTTCATAGCAGCCCTAGTCATACAGCCAAAAGGATGCACAACCAAGTGTCCGTCCACAGAGGAAGGAAGAAACACAGTGTGCTCCATCCGTCCAGAGGCATAGTATTCGGCCATGAAAAGGAATGAAGCACGGACCCAAGCTAGTGTGGGTGAACCTCAAACACATGATGCTCAGTGCAAGAGGCTACACACAAAAGACCACGTATGTGTGATTGCTCTTATCGGGAATGTGAACAGGCAACTCCACATACAGAAGGTAGACGAGTGGTTGCCGGGCTGCGGGAGGGGAGAGGAGGGAGTGACTTATGATGGCTATGGGGCTGCTGTGGGGAAGCCAGACAGAGTGTGGAACCAGAGAAAGGTGGTGGTTGCACATTTGAATAGACCACAAACCACTGAAACGCACACTTTAAAATGGTTCGCTTTAGCCCTGGCATAAACAATGGGCTCTGGGTGATCATGCGTTGACACAGGTTCAAGACTATACCCAGCGTCCCTCTGTGGTGGGGACGTGGGCATGTGGGGGCACAGGGCTCTCTGTACTTTCCACTCATGTCAAACCTAAAACTCCTCTAAAACCTAAAGTCTATGTTCTAAATGATTAACTTCATGTATCTGGATTTTATCTCCAAAGCAAAACACACAGAAAGCCACCAGCGTCATTTAAAAGCAGTAACCAGTCCCAGCTGGTTTGGCTCAGTGGACAGAGCGTCAGCCTGCGGACTGAAGGGTTCGATTCTGGTCGAACATGCCGCACATGCCGGGGTTGCGGGCTCGGTCCCCAGTGGGGGGCGTGCAGGAGGCAGCCAATCAATGATTCTCTCATCATTGATGTTTCTATCTCTCTCTCCCTTCTTCTCTAAAATCAATAAAATATATATATATATATTTTTAAAAAAGCAGTAACCAATGAGGATTCCTAAAACTCCTATCCTCTCTTGGGCTGGTTAATAACTGATACCTTATTACATATGCTGGGTTTTATTTCAATTATAGCTGACATTCAATAATATTTCATACTAGTGTACAGCACGGTGGTTAGGCATTTACACAATTTATGAGTGATCCCCCCGATAAGCCTAGTACCCACCTGACAGCAGACACAGTTATTATAATTCTGACCATAGTCCCTATGCTGTACTTTACATCCACGTGACTATTTTGTAACTACCAATTTACTTATTAATATGCTGTTGTTTTTAAATACATCTGCTCGGTGGGCTAAGCACTGGTAGCTGAGGAACCAGCAGGAGGGAAGGAGGGAGATTGGGAGGGGCGAGTCCTGCCCATGGTGCAGGTGAGAGCAGCAACGCTATGCACAGGGTACGTTACATGACCATACCACCCGTCCAGGCCACATTCAGCTTCAGATTGCTTCTTACATGACAAGTGATGCTAGCCACACAGCAGGGCATAGAGACAACCAAAGGGGTTTGGGCAACAAGAAAGCTGACTTTAAGAAAATAAAAATTTTAAGACATTTATTCACAAGTATTGACTGAGTGCCTGGGATAGATATGAGGTCCTGTGCCAAGTGGCATGAAACACACATAAATGAACTGCATGACAATAACTGTGAGACACGGAGGCTCACAGGTGTCCTTGAGTAGGTGAATGGTAAATAAACCACAGTCCATCCACACAAGGGAATATTATTCAGTGACAAAAGAAATGAGTTATCAAGCAATGAAAAGACAGGAAGGAACCTTGAATTCATATTACTAAGTGAAAGAAGCCGGTCTGAAAAGGCCACACCTGGATGATTCTGGAAAAGGCAAAACTACCGGAGACAAAACAATGGAGTAAAGATCAGTGGTCGTCCGGCCGGTGTGGCTCAGTGGTTGAGTGTCGACCTATGAACCAGGAGGTCACGGTTCAATTCCCGGTCAGGGCACAGTCCCCAGTAGGGTGTGTGCAGGAGGCAGCCAATCAATGATTCTCTCTCTCTCTCTCTCTCCCTCTCCCTTCCATAAAATACATTTTTTTCAAAAAATATATTTTATTGATTTTTTACAGAGAGGAAGGGAGAGGGATAGAGAGTTAGAAACATCGATGAGAGAGAAACATCAATCAGCTGCCTCCTGCACGCCCCCTACTGGGGATGTGCCCGCAACCAAGGTACATGCCCTTGACTGGAATCGAACCCGGGACCCTTGAGTCCACAGGCCGATGCTCTATCCACTGAGCCAAACCAGTCAGGGCGCATAAAATACATTTTTAAAAAGAGAAAAGCTCAGTGGTCTCCAGGGGGTGGGGGGACAGAGGGACGACTAGGCTGACAGAGAATGTTTAGGGCAGTGACACTACTCTGTGCGATGCCACATGAGTAGATACACATCATTATACATTTGTCCAAATCCAGAGAATGGACAGCACCAGGGCTAACCCTACAGTAAACTGTGGAGATTAATAATAATGCATCACTCTTGGGTCATTAACTGTAATAATGTACATAATGCAAGATGTTCAAACTGAGGGAACCTGGGAGGGGGACATGGAAACTCTGTACTATCCGTGCAAGTGCAAATTTTCTGCAAACCAAAAACTTCCCTAAAAAAATAAAATCTACGGCCCGAGCTGTTTGGCTCAGTGGATAGAGCATTGGCCTGGGGACTGAAAGGTCCCGGGTTCGATTCCAGTCAAGGGCAGGTGCCTGGGTTGTGGGCTCGATCCCCAGTAGGGGGCGTGCAGGAGGCAGCCAATCCATGATTCTCTCTCATCATCGATGTTTTATCTTTCCCTCTCCCTCTCTGAAATCAATAAAAATATATTAAAAATAAATAAAAAATTAAAATAAAATGAAATCTACTAATTAACAATCTAAACCACCACCTATGGGTGAAAAACAAAAACATAGAAAGACAGTGTGCAATGGCTCTTCTGAAGAAGAAGGTGGTTTCAGCGCCACTGGTGGTGTCTAGCCCAGCGGTCGCCAACCTTTCGGGCCTCAGGGATCACCAGTGGTCCGCGGACCGCCGGTTGGCGACCGCTGGTCTCGAGCACTTGGAAAACGGAAGCCAGAGCACCTGAACCAGACAGACTCCTGACCCAAACCCAGGCGCAGGCACCAAGGTTACTCCGTAGGGCCCTGCGAAGCTTCGGGCCAGCCTGCCATCCCCTCCTCCCACTGTCCTTCCTCAAGCTCAGCCCCTGATGGTTCTGGGGACCGTCACCCACACCTGCGCTGTGAACCAGAGCACCGGCTTTAGCAGGTAGAAGTCAGGGAGGGCTACCAGGTGGGAAACAAGAAATGGAACCTTCTCAAAGGCGTTTTCCAGAAAAACAGAACAATCCCGAGTGAAGCACTTATCCTCGATGCTAGGAAGCGGGGAGCTGTGGGCACACAGCGTTTCCCGTGGGGAGATCTGCCCCCACCAGTGACATCACAACATGGGGAGGACCTCAACAGCACACGCGGTCGCCCTGAAACTTGGAGTAGGGTCCCTGGGCCCCCTCCACATCCCAGACGAGGCCAAGGCCATGGTCCTCAGTGCTGGTTCAGCTGGGGGCCCAGTCCCGAGTCCTCGGTGCTGGCCACGCAGGTGCCACACACAGTGCCAGGGCCAGAGCGGGGGAGCAGGAGGCGGGAGGGGAATCCGGAAAGGCCTGTGCCATCACCTTTATTAATTCACCTCTGGAACCGCAGCGCCAGCACAGACATTCTGTGAGCAGAGGAACTCACTGCTCACGGGACTACAGTCCCGCAGTGTGGTTCATGCATGTGAGAGTCAGTGAAGGAAGTTGGGGGAGACACAGCATTACTTAGAGGGGTTTTCTTAAACCCTCACTGCTCTTTGGGATGCTCCGGAACAGGCAAATCCAAGGAGACAGAACGCAGACCAGTGGGGGCCAGGGACCAGGGAGGGACTGCTTAATGGGGACCGAGTTTCCATCCAGGGTGATGGAATGTTCTGGAATTAGAGAGTGTTGGTCGCACAACATTGGGAATGGACTAAATGCCACTGAATCGTTCACTTTAAAGTGGTTAAAATGACAAATTTATGTGATGTGTATTTTACCACACAAAAAAGATTTCACTGCCCATCGCCATCATGTGTGGAGGCTGCCAGGGGTAGGGCCCCCCAGTCCCAAGGGATACGGCCATAGTTCAAACAAACCCCAGGGACCTAAGGCTGCTGATCTGAGGGCCACGCAGAGGCCCACAGGGCAGGGCAGGCAGAGCCATGAACAGCAACCCAGTTCTGGGAGGGCCCATGTGGGAAGGAGCTGTTCCAGTTGTGCACCCTCCCCCCAGAGAAGCCGTGGTGTGAAGTGGCCGGGGGACCGGATGCCTGGGTTCAGACCCCCTCAGTCCCCACAGCCCCCAGGACTGAGGGTAAAGTACTCGCCTCAATGAGTCCCAGTTTCCCCATCTGATCTACCAACGAGGGCAATGAGGTCCTCTGCAGAGGTCACTTTACAAACAGGGCTCAGGGCTCCCCTGCCCACCCTCAGTGGCGGCCATGGGGTTACCTTGCCACCGGGGGTCCTCGCCCAGGATCTTCTCGATCATGGCCTGGCTGGCTAAGACCCCAGGCTGCAGATCAGGGATGCCATCCCCACCGCCGAGCTGGCCGTTCTGCAAGGCTTCCTGGGCCTGCAGCTCCCTGCGACCAAACAACACAGCGATTACGGCTCTGGAGGGTGTCCAAGCCCTTCCCGAAGGTGAGAGACTCACTCGGTTCTATCACTTTAAGGAGACCCCATATGTCCCCGGAGAGGCTGGCGGCCTGGGGGGTTCAGGACAGTATCCTGCGTCCTCGGGCACCCCCTGCCCTGGGACAACGGTCTCGACCCAAATCCTAGTGACTTGAGAGCTGGGTGGTGTTTCGTAGGGATTCGCTCATCGCCCTCACCCCCTAGGGAGCTCCATGTTGCACGAGTCAGAAGGAAGGAAACTTTTTAGAATAAAATCAAAGCCCAGCAAAAGAGCTGCTTAGGACCAGTGCTGCCTGAAACTCTGGGGAAGTGAGCTGGTTCCCCGCCTGCCCGGAGCGGGACGCCCACTCACCGGATGTCACACACCGGGGGCCGCAGGTCCAGGGGCCCGTGGGCGAAGGCACAGTGCGGCCCGTTCTTCACGCAGTGGCCCCGGGCGTCGGTCTCGTGGATGCACGTGCCCGTCTTGTAGTAGCGCAGGTGGTACTTGCGCTCGGTGTCGCCGGTTGTCCGGTGCAGGTACGGACACCTGGGGAGCAGAGGGGGGGACACAGGCCGTCTGGGCCTCAGGGCCTGGGGACAACCTCAGCGCCAACCTGCTCCACTTCTCCTTCGCGCCCGGCAGCAGCTGGCTCTTGTTCTCCTTCCCTCGGCTATCTGCTCTCCCCGAAGGATGGACATCACTGCTGGACCACTTGCCCCTGATCTGGAAGCCTTGCCCAGGGCACTCCGACCCCCACACATCCCTCAGTTATACATGGTAGAAAACACAACACCGAGTTTCCCTGAAAACCATCCTGGATAATTTCTTGAACAAAGTGTAGAAAAATAAAGTTCACTTCCAGGCCTCAGCCACGTCACTCATGTTTCCTGACAGGCGTTACCAAATAGAGTGGGTGGCCGCTCCCATCCCCCATCCAGGCACCTGAAGGAGGGAGGGACGGAATCTGGGGAGAAACATGGGAGCCGGGCCATGGCTGGAGGAGGACGCTGGTGGGAGACAGGCCAGGAGAGAAGCGAATGGGGATGGAGGGATGAGAGGGGCAGTCACACAGGCCAGGGGCGGCTGCGAGCCGCTCGCTCCCTGAGAGAGTCACACGGTCTCAGGCTGCCGAGCAGTGACCCGGTCCCACGCTGCAGGGAGGCAGCAGCTGCAGACGTGGCTGAGAAGGATTCAGTCCATGTGCAACATGGGACTGCGCCTGCCGTGAGGTGGGTCCCCCAGACAAGGCACCCGGCAGGAGGGGAAGAGAGACACAAGGGATCCTTGTGGCAATGACCCCTTGAGCAGCCTGAGAGTCAAGGCAGGGCCAGTTGCTACAAGTCCCCAAATCAAAGGACAGTGAAGCTTGGGAAAGGCCCACTGCCACCTTGCTGTCTGGCAGGCTGTGGACTTGGACCTGGATGCTGGGGGGCCCTGTGGGCATGGCTCCCCACACAGAGCACAGATGGGTGGCGCTTTGCCACCTTATAGGACCCAAAAGTAAAGTAACAAACGACTTAGTGACCATCCATTCTAAACCCTTATCTTATGAGGAAACTAGGCTCAGAGTGCAGGCAGCTCACCCCAGACCTAACTGAGCACCTGGGGGCCAGGGACCAGGGAGGGACTGCTTAATGGGGACCGAGTTTCCATCCAGGGTGATGGAATGTTCTGGAATTAGAGAGTGTTGGTCGCACAACATTGGGAATGGACTAAATGCCACTGAATCGTTCACTTTAAAGTGGTTAAAATGACAAATTTATGTGATGTGTATTTTACCACACAAAAAAGATTTCACTGCCCATCGCCATCATGTGTGGAGGCTGCCAGGGGTAGGGCCCCCCAGTCCCAAGGGATACGGCCATAGTTCAAACAAACCCCAGGGACCTAAGGCTGCTGATCTGAGGGCCACGCAGAGGCCCACAGGGCAGGGCAGGCAGAGCCATGAACAGCAACCCAGTTCTGGGAGGGCCCATGTGGGAAGGAGCTGTTCCAGTTGTGCACCCTCCCCCCAGAGAAGCCGTGGTGTGAAGTGGCCGGGGGACCGGATGCCTGGGTTCAGACCCCCTCAGTCCCCACAGCCCCCAGGACTGAGGGTAAAGTACTCGCCTCAATGAGTCCCAGTTTCCCCATCTGATCTACCAACGAGGGCAATGAGGTCCTCTGCAGAGGTCACTTTACAAACAGGGCTCAGGGCTCCCCTGCCCACCCTCAGTGGCGGCCATGGGGTTACCTTGCCACCGGGGGTCCTCGCCCAGGATCTTCTCGATCATGGCCTGGCTGGCTAAGACCCCAGGCTGCAGATCAGGGATGCCATCCCCACCGCCGAGCTGGCCGTTCTGCAAGGCTTCCTGGGCCTGCAGCTCCCTGCGACCAAACAACACAGCGATTACGGCTCTGGAGGGTGTCCAAGCCCTTCCCGAAGGTGAGAGACTCACTCGGTTCTATCACTTTAAGGAGACCCCATATGTCCCCGGAGAGGCTGGCGGCCTGGGGGGTTCAGGACAGTATCCTGCGTCCTCGGGCACCCCCTGCCCTGGGACAACGGTCTCGACCCAAATCCTAGTGACTTGAGAGCTGGGTGGTGTTTCGTAGGGATTCGCTCATCGCCCTCACCCCCTAGGGAGCTCCATGTTGCACGAGTCAGAAGGAAGGAAACTTTTTAGAATAAAATCAAAGCCCAGCAAAAGAGCTGCTTAGGACCAGTGCTGCCTGAAACTCTGGGGAAGTGAGCTGGTTCCCCGCCTGCCCGGAGCGGGACGCCCACTCACCGGATGTCACACACCGGGGGCCGCAGGTCCAGGGGCCCGTGGGCGAAGGCACAGTGCGGCCCGTTCTTCACGCAGTGGCCCCGGGCGTCGGTCTCGTGGATGCACGTGCCCGTCTTGTAGTAGCGCAGGTGGTACTTGCGCTCGGTGTCGCCGGTTGTCCGGTGCAGGTACGGACACCTGGGGAGCAGAGGGGGGGACACAGGCCGTCTGGGCCTCAGGGCCTGGGGACAACCTCAGCGCCAACCTGCTCCACTTCTCCTTCGCGCCCGGCAGCAGCTGGCTCTTGTTCTCCTTCCCTCGGCTATCTGCTCTCCCCGAAGGATGGACATCACTGCTGGACCACTTGCCCCTGATCTGGAAGCCTTGCCCAGGGCACTCCGACCCCCACACATCCCTCAGTTATACATGGTAGAAAACACAACACCGAGTTTCCCTGAAAACCATCCTGGATAATTTCTTGAACAAAGTGTAGAAAAATAAAGTTCACTTCCAGGCCTCAGCCACGTCACTCATGTTTCCTGACAGGCGTTACCAAATAGAGTGGGTGGCCGCTCCCATCCCCCATCCAGGCACCTGAAGGAGGGAGGGACGGAATCTGGGGAGAAACATGGGAGCCGGGCCATGGCTGGAGGAGGACGCTGGTGGGAGACAGGCCAGGAGAGAAGCGAATGGGGATGGAGGGATGAGAGGGGCAGTCACACAGGCCAGGGGCGGCTGCGAGCCGCTCGCTCCCTGAGAGAGTCACACGGTCTCAGGCTGCCGAGCAGTGACCCGGTCCCACGCTGCAGGGAGGCAGCAGCTGCAGACGTGGCTGAGAAGGATTCAGTCCATGTGCAACATGGGACTGCGCCTGCCGTGAGGTGGGTCCCCCAGACAAGGCACCCGGCAGGAGGGGAAGAGAGACACAAGGGATCCTTGTGGCAATGACCCCTTGAGCAGCCTGAGAGTCAAGGCAGGGCCAGTTGCTACAAGTCCCCAAATCAAAGGACAGTGAAGCTTGGGAAAGGCCCACTGCCACCTTGCTGTCTGGCAGGCTGTGGACTTGGACCTGGATGCTGGGGGGCCCTGTGGGCATGGCTCCCCACACAGAGCACAGATGGGTGGCGCTTTGCCACCTTATAGGACCCAAAAGTAAAGTAACAAACGACTTAGTGACCATCCATTCTAAACCCTTATCTTATGAGGAAACTAGGCTCAGAGTGCAGGCAGCTCACCCCAGACCTAACTGAGCACCTGGTGGGCAGGGCCTAAGGGGAGACAGACACATGGCGCCAGGTAAGTCCCCAGGTCACTGGAGCCAACCAAGCAGAAGGCAGGTTAGAAGGCCGCTGGGAGCCCAGAGTCACACCCAGAAGAGCTGGATGAAGGATTTCCAGAGATGTCTGTGCACCACGATCGTGGCAGCATGATGCTCACTAGCTCAGAGCCGGAAAGGACCCAATGCCCATCAGCTGATGAACAGATAAGCAAAACGTAGTCTGTGCAGACAACAGAATACAATCCAGCCATAAAAGAACAAAGTACTGACACATGCTACATGGATGAAACCTGTAAAACCTCATGCTAAGTGAGAGATGCCAGACACAAAAGGTCACTATTCCACTCACATGAGGTCCCTAGAACAGTCAGATTCATCGGGACAGGAAACAGAGGAGGTTACCAAGGGCTGGAAGAGGGGCGAATGCGGAGTGACTTTTCATGGGGGCAGAATTTCTGTTTGCCGTGATGGAAAGAATTTAGAAATAGTGATGATGGTTGTCTAACACTGTGAATGTAACTGATGTCGCTGAAGTGTACGTTTGAAAATGGCAAATACTGCCCTTGTCGGTTGGGCGTCGTCCCATGTACCAAGAGGTTGCCAGTTCTATTCCCAGTCAAAGGCCCAGGCCCAGGGTTGCAGGCTCAAGCCCTGGTAGGGGACTGGGGGAGGCTGCTGATTGATGTATCGCTCACATCAATGTTTCTCTCTCCGCCTTCTTCTCTTTCTAAAAACCAATTAAAACTCTTTAAAAAAAGAATTACTATCGTATCACTATGTATTAGTATGAAAAGGAGATGTTATGCATACATACAGCACTCTACGTGCCCACAGAGAAGATGACTGCTTCCTTTGTGTTCCCAACAAGGAGTTCCAAGAAACATTTTTGGGAGATATAAGTGACATGACAAAATATTAGCATAATTACTATATCCTAATTAACATACCCTTGCCTAAAATCCCTATTATAAAGTTATAGTTTAATATATATATATGATATATTTTATATCTATTTTATATATATTTCAAGCTCCTCCAAGCCCTTCCCTGTGTCCTCACACAGCGCTGCCATGTAACACAGTTTCTGAGGATGTCATGGAGAACCCTCTGCCACGCCAGGGAACCTGACCTAGAACACAGGACCCCTCCCCGTTTACTCATACAGATTGCTATCATCATAAATAAAGAACTTGAAGAAATAAAGAGACCAGGAATTCACAGAACAATAGACTAGGGAAATAAACAAAGAATCTACAAGACAAAAAATGTCATGGATCATGACCACGGAGGCAGTTGTCTTGCGAGGCCCCCTGTTCCAGGACAGAACCCAGAGGGGGCTGCGGAGAAGCAGACGCCGTTGCCGGAAGAAAGCCAGAGCGCAGTGACTTCTCTGGAGGGGCGTCTGGTGACACGGAACGAGACGGCAGTGCCTTTACTCTCTCCCCGAATGACCCACTTCTAGAGACCGGCCCAGAGACAGCTGGCAACGCGATCTCTGCAGGGCTGTCTGTCATCCTCAAAGCTGCAGACAACCAAAGCCCTGGAATAAACAAGATGGCAGTGCAGCTCTGAGGAACAGGGGGGTCGGCATGGACAACCAGGGAAGGGGCGCCAGGAGGTACTGTGAGGGAAAAACATGAAGAAAGGGGTGTTTATATCGGAAGATGGGGAACAAGAATACCTATATATCTGCTTATATCAAAAATTATGGAAGGAGGAGCAACTGTTTAATGGGGAGAGAATTTCAGTTTGGAGATGGAAAAGATCTGGAGCCGGATGGTGATGATGGCTGCCATGTGAACGGACGTAATACCACTGAAGTGCACACTGAAAAAAGATAAGGTGGTAACTTTTATTACGAAGTAAACAATTTAAGCTACTAGGAAAGCCACCACTTTACAAAAGCAGTTCCAACCTTCAGACCTACCTATGCATGTACTGCAAGTCAGGCATAAGAACCCCACAGGCTGGGGAGAGGGCACCAGCGCACCAGAGCTGAGGCAGCCTTGAAGTTTCTCTACAGAACTCACTCCGAACAGCCTCCGCAGCACAGCAGAGGGCTCCCGACTTCCCTAATGCTAAATCTAAAGTGTCGTTTGTTCCCTAATGGCCCCTCAGGGTAGCTCTGCGCATCATTTGTTTCTTCTCCAGTACCATTGCCACGGCAACTAGCGTCAGGCCAAGGCTTCTTGTTCCCCAGCACCGAGCACCAAATAGACACTACAGTGGGGCCTTGACTTACGAGTGTCAGAACAGCCGCCACAGCACAGCAGAGGGCTCCCGACTTCCCTAATGTTAAATCTAAAGTGTCGTTTGTTCCCTAACGGCCCCTCAGGGTAGCTCTGTGCATCATTTGTTTCTTCTCCAGTACCATTGCCACGGTCAGGCCAAGGCTTCTTGTTCCCCAGCACCGAGCACCAAATAGACACTACAGTGGGGCCTTGACTTACGAGTGTCCCGACTAATGAGTTTTTTTGAGATACGAGCCGTCTCTCGGCCGATTTTTTGCTTTGAGTTGCGAGCTAAAATTCGGGTTACGAGCCAGCTTCAGATACCCCACCGCTAGTTGGCGCAGTGAACGTCACAGTGAACGCCACAACATCAGCCCAGCATCACATGTCTCACTCGTTCACTTTTGATTTGACATACGAGTAATTTGAGTTACGAGCTCTGTCACGGAACAAATTAAACTCGTAAGTCAAGGCCCCACTGTACTATGTCACTCAGAGCATGTCACCTTCTTCATGAATTAAAACATGAACTGACCTTAAAATACTGGAGGACATTGAAGAAGAAGAAATTGGCTTCACCTTAAGAACAGCTAAGAGGTGACAGGGAAAACCTCAGAGAACACCCAGTGACAAAGCCAGGCCCCCTCCGGGGCTAGGGAAGAGGCCCCCGGGGACGGCCTGACACCACTTGCAGATTCCTCCTTGCGCAGGAGTGCACTGAGCCATCCCCAGGACCACTGCCAGCCTTGCAGCACTTGTCAAATTCAGGGTGACATCCATGGTTCTCAAACTTGTCCACAACAATTAGTGAACTGAACAGTGTCACTAAAACAGGGCTCCTGATGGCATGGCACAGGGGCACGAGGCGTGGTGCACGCCGGCCCCCGGACGTAGCTCCACCAGAGGGCTGTGCAACCACTGAACCAGGATGGGAGGAACAGGGAGGAACACAAGATTGTCCCTAACCAGCCAGGCCTAGCAGCTCAGTTGTTTAGCCAAAGCTGTGGGTTTGACCCCTGGTCAGGGCACATATAAGACTCAACCAATGAATGCAGACATAAGTGGGACAACAACAAAAGACTGCCCTATCCCTAAGGCTCCAGGAGAGCCTGAAATTGCCCTTTTCTCACCCGAAACAAAACTGGGCCCACCAAACTCGGACCTACTGCACAACAAGACCAGTCTATGTGTGTGAGACCACGGTGGCCACTGAACTCAAACCCACTGTGCATTGGCATCCGCCTGTGAACTGGCCTGGGCCTGGGCCAGGGCTCCCACACGGGAAAATGGGTCAGAATCAAGTGGAGGGCAAGTTCCCCGGTGATGCTGCTGCTGCTGCTGGTCTAGGGCTGGTCCAGGAGACACACTGGGCTGAGAATGACAAGCAAGATGACCCCCTCCAAGTCCTCCAAGCTCCGGCACAGCACAAGCGGGAGAGCAGAACACAGCAATGACTGAGGTGCAAAATGGAACAGAATGAAGCAAACTGATAGGGGTTTGGAAAATGAGCAATGGCAGAAAGACCTGTGTGCTGCATACAACTGGGGGGCAGGGTCAGAGGTCCTGGGGTCGGTGGGGGGGTGGTAAAAGGATGGAGCTTATAGGGAGAAGCCAGTATGTCCTCTTACTGCCTCTCCTCTCAGACACTGGGAGTGGGGGTTTGCCAGCCCCCCATGTTGACCACATCCATCTGTTCATCCCTGGGCCTTGCAGCCTCTGGCTTCCAAGGGCTGCCCTGAACTCCTGAGCCAGGACAGTGACCCCTCATTAGTCCCTAAGGGGGAGCATCAGCTCCAGGAAGGAGTGCACCTCCTTCCTCTGCACCCAAAGAGCTACCACTCTCTCCCAAGGACAGAAACGTCTCTCCACCGGCCCCAAGGGGCAACTGATCTCCCCGGGCCAGGCCTTTCATCCTGGTCACCATCTCTGTCCCAGCCCTTCACCTAAAGCAACAGGAACTGAAGTGCTTGCAATCAGTCAGTGCTTTTAACATTTTTATATGGGTCTCTTACAGATCCAACGCAGTCACCTAATTGTAATTCTCTTAAGCTGGTTAGTTTGTAACCAAAACAGTGTGTTTTCACCCTGGCCCACATGCTCAGTGGTTAGAGCGTCGGCCAGAGCACGGAAGGGTCGCAGGTTCATTCCTGGCCCCGGTCAGGAGTGTGCAGGAGGCAACCAATCAATGTGACTCCCTCACAGGGATGTATGTCTCTCTCTCCCCTACCTTCCACTCTCTGAAAATCAATGGAGAAAATATCCTGGGGTGAAGATTACCAAAAAAAAAAAGTGTGTGTTTTCTTCTAGTCTATAAGTAGCCCCAACTATTGAATATGATGCTCTAATATTCTACACCTGCCCTTGGCTTTCACCTTACCCAAAAAGCACAAGCAGAATGCACTTGTAAAATGCTTAAACAACAAATTTATAACCACCCTGAAGTGAACGAACTTCCATCTAAGCCTCAGGTACTAAGACACTCAACTTTAAAAAATTAAACATTGCAAAAGTATCTTTCAATAAAAGGTCAAACTATACACAAGTATGATACAGCAGGGACACCAAACTTCGGGCATGTAGAAAGGCTTCCTTAAATCAACAAGCTACCACCAGGATTCACAAGGGAAAGCCCACTGAGTCACACATCATCTGCTCCACCTGAGAGGCCTGTGCCCCCAGCTGCCCGAAGTGCAGGGAGTGGGGAGGTATCTATGGCGAGAAATGGCAGGGAGCCCCACAAAGAATAAGGCAGATCTCTGAAGTCAACCTGTAAAGTTACTCCACATAATGAGCAGGCATATATATATCTATATATATAAAAGGCTAATATGCAAAGTGTCCCTTCCGGCATTCCAACGGGAGACTGGGAGTTCGACAGCTCGCTATGACCTGTGCTGACCACCCGGGGGTGGCGCAGAACAAAGAAGGCCCTGATCGCCCGCCAGGACTAGGGACCCTACCTGTGCACGAATTTTGTGCACCAGCCCTCTAGTTTCTTATTAAAACAAAAAAAAACTTATAACTGTGTGGGGCGGGGACAGCCTGTCTAGGGCAGGAGGAGGGTTAACAGAGAACAAAACAGAAAACATTTACTCAGCGCACATACAGTTAGGAACTGCCTGAATTGTTTTCCAATAAAAATGTTCTTCTGGAGGGGCGCTCACACCCCTGGGGAGGGCTTTTTCTTTTTAAATGTCAGAGCCCACACCTGTAAATGCCTGACCAGCACTGAGAACTCCGCACACGCAGTATCCTGTAGCGAGAGGTGCCAACCAAACCTGGGTTCAAGGTACGAAAACCAAGACGGAAGCTGACAACTCTCAGTCCCTGCGGGGAGCAAGCCGGACAGCAGGGGGCCGAGGGCCGTCCACACCCGACGCCTCTCTCAGGGCAGTTTTCAATACATGGCTGGACCCACAGAAACTTCCGACAAAAGCCGCTTTCCTGGCAGCCCCAGCCTCGGAAATACCTGAGGTGGATCCGCCCAGGTGGGAACACCGACCCTGTGGAGCTGGGCCCGCCCCGGGAGCGGTTTTCTGCGCGGCCAACTCTGACCGCAGGTTAGAGAAAGCGCACAGCGCACAGCGTACACCGCGAGGCGGACCCAGGCGGTCCCACCGCGCCCCGGAGAACAGTTCCCACGGGGGCGGGGCGCGGCGCACGTGACCCGGGCGGCCAATCGCGGCCCGCGCCGGGTAAGGGGCGTGTCCACCAGAACAAAGGGCAGTGGGAAAGGGAGGACCGCTGCACTCCAGCGCAGAAGGGACCCTCCCTGACAAAGGGGTGCCCGTCCGCCGAGGAAAGGGGGCGGCGGCGGGGCCGTGACAGTGGAGAAGGCCACAGACGGAGGGGTGAGGGAGGTAAGAGGGTGACTGCCTGCCAAGGAAAAGGGGTGACAGTGGGGTGGGGATGACAGCGAGAGACCACGCAGAGGCGACAGGGAGAATGCCCATGGAGGGGAGGGTGTGACAGCAGAGGAGACTGTCCGCCGGCCAATGAAAGGAAGTGACAACAAGAGAGGGGTCACCAGAGAAGAGGTGAGCGCAGGAGGAAGGATAACTAACTGCCTGTCAAGGAAAAGGGATGACAGTAGGGGTGCCCATGGAGACGGAGACGAGGAGGGGGGCTCCCAGGAGGTGATGGCGGGAGTGGGGGTGACATCCAGGGAGGGCACCACTGGGAGGTGGGTGATAGTGAGAGGGGGAGTGTGACTGCCCACCAAGGAACAAGAGTGACAGTGGGGGTGTGACAGCCAGGGAGGGGCCCCTGGAGGAGGGTGATGGCAGGTGCGTCAACCCTCCCGCAGGCCTCACCCCTTTCTGGCTCGGCCCCATGTTGCCCCCAGAAAGTGTCAAGAACAACCTTAGATGCTTCTGTCACCTGACAGAAGGGTTGGCTGGAGGGTCTTTGTTCTTTGATACATAGTCATGTTTTAAAATGATAGGTTGACAGTACAAATGCTCAAAATAGAAATTTCAAGAACCAATGAACTGAAATAAAAAGGAAACAGATACTACCTGTCCTTGCTCTGAAAGGTAGTATCTATTTACAAATCCATGGCAACCTTTTGTGAACCAGAATATGTAATTCCACAGGACAAACTCCAGGGTATTCCATTTGTAGGTGACAGGAAAGTCCCTCTCCCAGAGAATGGGCAAAATGAGCAGTAATTGCTAAGGAGAGAGCCCCTGGGGAGATGTCCGGCTGTCAAACTCATCACATGTGCTCAAGAGAAGTTACAAACATCTTTAATAAGACACATGTGACTTTCTTACTGTGCACAGATGTACACAGGATGTATCCAAAACAGAAAATGCCAAACAAGCATCTTGGTCCTGTTTCTCAATGATAACCGTATACCATTTAGACTACACTAATATTTTTATTTGAATAATATTTTATATTTTTATAATGAACAATTGCATATCACTTGACTACTATTTGCGCCCAGCTTTAAATGACCAGCTGCAGGTAGGTGTTCACTGCAGAACTCTCATCTCATAAGAATTGGACCCCATCCCCAAAGCCCAGCAGTGGGGCTGAATCAACATCAAGACATCCAGACTCTGGGACCCAAGAGAGCTGTTAAAATATGCTTTCTTTTCGAGTATTAAAAGCACCACCAATGAATACTGCCGCTTAATCCCGATACTGGACTCTAGGATGGGGTCAGACATGCCAGGAGACTGAACCCCCAAACCAGGGTCAAGCAGCAGGGCGACTCAGGACCCCAGATCCAGAGAGGTGACGGACATGACCACGGGAATTGGGGGACTGATACCAGGCCTCGGCTAGACAAAAACATCTCTCTTCTGAAGAGTCATCTTCAGAAAACATCGGCTCAGGAACCATATAAAAAGGCACTTTTCAACCTTCGCAGAAGTAGAGCAATCCTAACCGTGGTGGAGCAGTCCACATGATTTCAACAGGCTTCAAGCTGCCTTAACAACACTATGGAATTAGATGGTGTTCAACGAAACACCTTTCAGTAGCTGAATAAAGTTTATAAAATGACCACAGATTAAAAATGGACTTCGTGGCCTAAGCATTCTGGAAAATGAAGGAAAACAGACTCATCACACCAGGCTGTGTGTGTGGGGGAGTGAAAACTGTCTTCATAACTGAATCATCTCCCTTCAGAGGATCAGGGGATGGAGCCTGAAGACCTCCCCAAATCAGATCCCCTTCCAGACAGAAGCTGAACAAGCTGCTCTTTTCAGAGGATCGGAGGGCACAGTGATGCCGCCCCACCTCCTGGCAGGAATGGATGCCCCCCAGCCCCATCAAACAGCCCACAGGAAAACAGCAAAACCCCCTGCTGCCTACCAAGCTGCCTATGAGTATACAAGCTGACTGTACTTTTCCTGTTTTCCCATTCTATACACAGGGTGGGGCAAAAGTAGGCTTACAGTTGTTCATAATGCAAGAAGAATCTCTGTTATTTCACGCACTCACAACTATAAACTTGGTGTTCAAAACACCATTAGGAAATTTGTAGAGAAAAAAAAAAGTCAACCCAAACAAAATCTTGAGTTCCTAAACTTTAAAAGTGCTGCATAAATGGCAGCCTGCAAATAAAATTGCTTTTAAAAAACACACAACTAAACATGTAAACAGCAAAAAAGGGAACATTCCAGATACATTTGCATAGTGTGAGTACACGTTCTAACTAAAGCTCTCGTTATAAACACAATGGACAACTACAAAAATGGTCCTAAACCTAAAAGCTGTACCTCCTTTGGGCTGGTTCTAATAGAAGAAATTTGGAGAACTGTAGCAATCAAAAGTGGGAAGTGAAGCAAATTCGGTTTGAATCATGCAAGGCTTATTCCGTGAGACACACAGTTCTTCCCACACTGGCCTAAAGATAGGAAAAT